AGACCAATCTATTGATCTTGATATATCTGGAAAAATGGAGAATAGACAAGATACACATCGCAGGCTTACCATGTAAATGAGGAATTTCAAAATATTCCAAGGAGATCAAAGAAGTTGGCAGACAAATTTCATACTGAAGCTATTTTCCATTTATTCAAGAGTACAAGAGCCATCAAAGGTAAAAGATAGTTTTGATTATAAGACCTAAACAAGAACAATTCAGAGATGAATATTAAACTATGTACTAAATTTGTGATGGTGAACTTATGGCATGTGTGCCACAGGTGGCATGCAGAGTCTTCTCTGCTGGTATGCGAGCCGTCACCCCAGCTCAGTTCCGCCACACATCCGCTTGCACTTCCAATTGGCCAGCTGATTTTTGGGTCTCTGCTGTGCATACATGGGGTGGAGTGCATGCAGGAGATGCACGTGCATGAGCGGGGGGAGGGTTGCATGTGCAGGGGCAGGGTGCACATATGTTGTGCTCCTGCATGGGGTGGGGCGCATGCGGGGGGTCATGTGCACATTCACAGGAGTGGAGCACATGGAGGGCATGTATGCACATTGCATTATGGGTGTGCGTGCACGCGCTTTCAGGTGTACGTGCTTTTGGCACTAGGTGCCAAAATGGTTAGCCATCACTGTGCTAAATGATATGACACTTTTAGCTAAAGAATCTTTCATGTTGTGGTTCTTCCTCTAGCAGCTAATCGAAGAATAGCTATTTGCGCTTATGGCCAGCTGGAAACTAACAGGATTTAATTCTTTTTTCAGAAGGCCATAAATACAGTGACTATTTTGGTCTCAGGAAGTGAGCTATTCCAAAGATGGAAATAGTTACCTGGAATACCAGCATTTCTCTTCCCTCCTGTCATGCCTTCCGATTGGAGGGAACCTTCACCAAGCACTGCCTATTCACACAAGTCAGATGGGAAGAGTTTATTTATAATAGGCAGTTTATACCATAATCAGGCCACAAGTCACATCGGGCTTTATAGATAAAAACCAAATCTTGAATTGCTCTCCAAAACAGGACTGGTAATCAGTGCAGTTTCTGCAGCAGTAGTTTTAAGTGACAAGTTTGCGATTGTCCAATAAACACATGGACAGTTACTTTCTGTATCAGTTGAGGTTTTCAGGTGGTCTTTGGGGTAGCCCTAATTGAACCAATCCAATTGCAAATGCCTGAGAAACCATATTTAGAGCATATAGATAAGGCCACACATGGTTCATGAGCAAAATACAACCACCATCTGCTCTTCCTGCAGGCAGCATGGGACAAATCACCATGGCCAACTCCCCATAGCCAATTTGGCATGGCCAACTCCCTGCGGGACAACGCACCATTTTCACCTTGCTGCAGGATAATTCAACAATACAAAAGTTACATTAATTTCAATGGAATTGGGTCCAATAATAGTAAAATAAACTCCATCCAGAAATACAAGAGTTAACAATAATTTCAGTGAAAATGTGGTCATCAGTAATAAAATAACGGAATAAAGCGATTAATGTAATGTTTAATTGTCCTGTGGCAGGTTGTCCTAGACCTGTGATGGCGACCTATGGCACACGTGCCCGCTCTGTGGGCATGTGTGCCATCGCCCCAGCTCAGTCAGCTGGTCATCGGATTTCTGAGATGCACATGCGGGCCGGCCAGCTGGTCATTGGGTTTCTGAGGCACGCATGCATGCCAGCCAGCTGGGTGTTGGGTTTTCTGTGCTGTAGCACATGCATGTGCACAGGCCTTCTGGTTTGGGCACTCTGTGACTAAAAGGTGCACCATCACTGTCCTAGATCCTCCTGCAGGAGCCATGAGTCCAGTAGGGTTCCCTGATTGCAATTCTGCACTTTCAGGAGAAGTTCAGCTTCAAGAGCCAAATCTGCTATCATCCAAACATCAGTTGGCTTCTAAAGCAATAAACAATTCAATTTGCTTGGGTTGAGTCTGAGCCTCTTTCTCTCCATCCAGGTCCTGACAACCCCCAGGCTTTCATTTAGGATTTTCATTGCATTTCCCTTTTGCCCATGGCAAAAATATATAGCTA